CACAGTTCAAAGGCATCAATTCTTCGGCGCTCAGCCTTTTTTATGGTCCAGCTCTCACAGCCATGCATTACTACTGGAATGAAACCAGAGCAAGGCTCTTAAAAAGCAAAATTTGATGTTTTCTTCAGGGTGAGGAAAATGAAATCCAAGATCTCCCCAATCTATTTCTTCCATATGTGACAGAGGAACATGTAAATCTGTTTCTGCCCAACACTCCCTTTTCCTGTGCATGAACTGACTCCATATTATCTGTTCTTTCCTTATAATTTTTCTTTTTTTGTGGCGTTACCTCCCTGGGATATTAAAGGGTCAAAACCACAACCATGTCTCTGAACTTCTGGAAATGTCTTTTGTGTTGCCCTCGGATGTATCAGCTGAAGCAATTTCTGTTCTTTCTCTTCATACAATTCAGATCATATGAATGGAAAGATTGTTGGAGAACCAGGAGATCTGCTGGCCCCATTTGGGTCTGTGTTAGGGAACAGAGAAGAAATGGGGGAACAACACTCAGAAGGTGAAGGAGCTGGAAAAAACCTTCCTGCTGCTCAGCCTGGAAGATGTGGGGAGATCTGCGCAAGAACCAGGCAGAAGATCCTGGAGGAGGAAACCATCAGTTCAGAGGTCCAGTGTTGGCACTTCAGGAATGAACTCTACCAGGAATCCAAGGGGCCACGAGAACTTTGCAGCCACCTCCACCACCTTTGCCATCAGTGGCTACAGCCAGAAAGACGAACAAAAGCTCAGATGTTGGACCTTGTGATCCTGGAGCAGTTTCTGGCCCTCCTGCCTATGGAGATGGAGCGCTGGGTGCGGGACTGTGGTGCAGAGACTAGTTCCCAAGCGGTGGCCCTGGCCGAAGGTTTTCTCCTGAGCCAGGCGGAGGAGGAGAAGCAGGAAGAACTGCAGGTGAGAGAACTTCATCTTTTATCTTTCAGGGATATTCAGTTCATGAACTCTAGATTTCAGCCTTAATTGTTTTCATACTAGAATTTCTGAGCAAAAATAATATGAGGAAATGTTTAGGCAAATTCCAGAGGATGAATTTGGGGGCATTCTTTCATTGTTATTTTCCATCTCCATAAATGAACATCGAGAAGTTGCAAAGTTGAGGACAGAGTATGAGAATCCAGTCCATCTTGTGTGCTGTTCCATTGTATTCTGTTCTTTGCTTCTCAAGATACAGCAGGCCCAGAGACCATTCTTGGAGTCCATCATGAAAGATCCTGAGGAAGGAAGGGAGCTGCTTCTCAGGGGGATCTCCAAGGAAGATCCATGTTGTGACACTTCAGGAGGTGGGGAAGGTCCTTCAGAGTTCCATCTTTCATTCTCTCTGGCCTCTTTTGTGCAATATTTCCCCATCTTTTATTAATGCTTTTGTTTAAATGTCTCTGTTGCTTTTGTCTCCCTCACAGAGAGTAGGATGATGTCA